CAAAATTCCAGAACCACCTCTGAATTAGGTGGCCTTGAATTGTCCCTGAAATGTTAGTGCAGTATGGGAAATCTTCCGTGCACAATCACCCTCATGTTTATATACAGCTCAAAGACAAGAACTATAATTCACCAAATAAACATATTACTTAGGATTTTCTAGAGGAACAAAATGATAACTTTATGGCTGAAGATGGGGTATGATTTCACAGGCAAAGACAACAGCAATAGAAGCCCTTGCCCAGAAACAGGACCTGCAGGTGACGACAGGCTTCTGCCTTTTCCCACGTGTGGGTCCATGCAGATTCCCAGTCTAGAGGATGGTGCCACCCACACTGAGAGAGACGATCCCAATAGTCTCTGGAAACACCCTCCCTCTACGATGGGGGAAGTGCTTTACTAGGGATGTCTTGGTCCAGTTAAGATGGCAATTAAACTTAATTATCATACCTATCATTTGGAGAGCTTGTAAAAAAGTTTATCATTGTTTTCCTCATCATTAATAAATAAGGTTTTCAGTCACAGCGAGGAAACAAATTCTCCCAGTGATTTTACCTATCGATTTTGTTGTTGTTCGTTTAATAGTGTCTCACTATGTAGCCACGGTTGTTCCGACGCTGACTTTGTACTCCAAGCTGACCTTGAATTCAGAGAGACTCACCTGCCTCTGGAGTACTGGAATGTGCATCTCCACACTGAGATACATTAGTTTTTTTTATCAAAAAGACTGGAAAGAACAGACATTTGCTTTTGAAATTTCAAGTTTTAATCTAAATGAATGGGTTTGAGGTATTCACTGAGGTTTTACTATGTACCTCCTTATGTACAAGGCAAAGGCCCTATAGCAGTAAATAAAATGACATGGAACTTGAAATTATTATGATTAGTGTAGTCAGCAAGCATTTACAAACATGTATTTTATAAACACATTAGCTGGGGGGGATGGAAGTACTGTCTTATACATGACTGCTTAGTTAGGGTTTCTATTGCTGTGATGAACACCATGACCAAAAAAGCAAGTTGGGGAGGAAATAAAAGGGTTTATTTGGCTTATTCTTCTATATCACTGTTCATCACTGAAGAAAATCAGGATAGGACCTCAAGCAGGGTAGGAACCTGAGGCAGGAGCTGATGCAGGGGCCACGGAGGGGGGCTGCTTACTGGCTTGTTTCCCATGAGTTGTTCGGCCTGTTTTCTTATAGAACTCAGGACCACTAGCCCAGGGATGGCACTACTCACAATGGGCTGGGTCCTCCCCCACAGATCACTAACTGAGAAAACGCCTTACAGCTCAATGCCAGGAAGGCATTTCCACAACTGAGGCTCCTTTCTCTGACGACTGTAGCTTGTGTCAGGTTGACATACAAAAACAGCTCAAAACTGTGCTATTTTTAGTCATGGTGTTTCATCACATCAATGGAAACCTTACCTAAGACACATTCCCAACGCTGTTCAAGGGTTAAGTATAGATTCTCTTGTTAGATTCATGCTCTTAACTGTGACATGCTGTACAATAAAACCCAAGTTACATAGTTCCAATAAACAATGGCATAGCATAAACATTTCCATTCTAAAAGGGGCGACCTTACTCCAGCAAGGCTCTGTCCTTGAGAGTTCCACAACCTTCCAAAACTGTGTCACTAGCTGAGAACCAGTTATTCAAACACAGTGCTGTTTTCACTCATACATTTCTGAGAGTCTTTCTGCTGATCTACAGATCTGTGGCACACCACCCTTCCTCTTGTAAAGGATTGCTACCTTAGGAATAAATTGTAATTTCTTACTTACATTTTTGCTGTTTTAGCTGCATCTTTTTTCATAAAGACATAAAAGCTATATTTATTATAGAAGGTTTTTTTAAAAAATTCCAAAACCATTAGCAACACAGCCTTTTTCAAAGGTTGTAAAGAAAATAAGACTTTTAGCTTTCATAAATTTGTAAGAAGGAGTTCAACTATTTGGCTTATGACCTCTTCTGGACAAGGATCAGACCTTGCCAGTTTCCCTGTTTGCTCAGCATGTATCCAATGGGAGGAAGAGAATAAGGTCATTCCAAATCGCTGAACCTTCAGCTTTCTTAGGGCCACATACTTTTATATAATGCCTCCCACTCCTGGAAGTGTGCCTGCTTTGACTTAAGACTCCACTTTGTTTGTGTGTGTGCATATATGCATTTGGGTGTATATATGTTTGTATGTATATACATATGTATGTGTGCATGTATGTATATATTCCCATGATGTGCCAAAGAGAGTTCTTGACAAGTAATTCAATAGAATGCTTAGTCCACCTTTTCCTCCTAATGCCCAGCTCTTTAAAGAAGTCAATCCAAAAGTAAACAACTTTACAAGCATTTATTAAGTCCTACCACAGGCAAGCCATTAGAACCCAGCCTTAAAGCCCCTATATAGATCCTCTAAATTAGAAGACACCAAAAGTTTCACAACTCTAATCCCAAATAAAAAGCATTATGGTTTAATGCTCACCTTCCTACTATATAGTAATAAGGACAAAAACTATGTCTCCTGGGTAAGGCAGTACCACGCCTGTAATCACTTGGGAGGATCAGGAGTTCAAGGTCATCCTCTGGCTATGGTGTAGCTGGAGATTTCTCTCCCATCCACCAGTTTCCAAATAACGACTCTGAGACTTAATATTAATTATAATTGCTTGACCAATGGCTTAGGCTTCTTACTGGCTAGTCCTTACATATAAATTAACCCACTTCCAATAATCTATGTATTGCCAAATAGCTATAGTATTACCTCACATCTTGCTTCTCTGGCAGCTGCTGGCATCTCCCAGCCTCTTCCTCCTTTTTCATTTTATCTTTGCTTGGATTTCCTGCCTGGTTTTATTCTGCTTGGCTATTGGCCAAATCATCTTTATTAACCAATGGTAATAAAACATATTCACAGTAAACAGAAGGGCATCTCATATCATCCCCCCTTTTCTGTCTAATTAAAAAGGAAGGTTTTAACTTTAACATAGTAAAATTACATATAACAAATTGGTTATTAAGCAAGAATTACAGTTACAATATTTAGTTTATTTGAATTTGGCAAAATTAAAGAAAATATTTTATTATCTATTCTATCTTTGTGAGTCTAAAGTTTCATGTTTATCTTTTATCATAACTAAGGAAAACTATAGCTATCTAGTATTTAACTCCATCAAATATCCCAGAAGGATATAATATTACTTGAGTAATTGGGGAGTGCATTGCAAGCAACTTCCAAAACTCTAGAAATGACAGAGACATCTGACTGCCTGGACAGTCACCCAAAGTTCCTCTGCAATGTTGGGGCATCCATCTTCAGCTTATGGCCCATAGTATCTGGCAGACTTTTCAATGAAGGAAGAAATTTGAAAGACTGTCCCACCTAAATTGGCAGTTTGTCAGTAACACTCCTCTGTGTCCTGCGGAATGTCTGGAGGTTTCTTCTGTGAAACAGGAACCCTGAAGGCCTGTCCCACCTTGTTTGGCAAGTTCAGTAGTCATTTTCTTGTGGGTCCTGAATGTCCAGTTTATACAGCATACCATCAACAGTCCAGGCAAGAGCAGTTTCTTGCCCAAATGGCTAGCCTTTGCCATCAGTGAAAACAAACTCCATAAGGAACTTCTTTGATGCCCATCTTCCTCTTGAACTAATTGGTGCTGCCAGGAACAGATGTGTCTCACTGTCGAGAAAAGTCTAAGTTCTTAAAATATTTTAAATGCCATATTCTGTAGGTATTTGGAGTGTTTGAAGATTATCTATTCATTTGAAATGTATCTCTGAATATCTAGAAAACCTAACATGATTGTAAGTTTGACTATTATAGATGATATTAATTTGTACTTAACTATATATTACATTTTAAATAAGCAGCATAAAATATCTTAAACAAGAGTAGAAATATACATATAGAATAACAAAATTGCCCTAAAATTTGCATCAGTAAACCAAAATCCACACCAATGTAAAGCATTTTGAAATTAACAGTTGCTTTTTGGATTAAAGTAGATTAAAGTAATCTAATTTTTCATAATTTCTATATTGTATCCCCCTTTTTTCTTTAGAAAGAGATTGACAATAACCATTAATCATTTATAACTAACCCCCTTTAAATGAAAACAAACATTAATAAATGATATTTTGGGAATTGGTGCATAGCTTTCTTCCATATACTACTTCCTGCTGATTGGGGACACTGATAATCTTAGAAAGATCCCGAGAAAATTTAGAGTTATGGTTAAATCTTGGCTGTAGTAGTCTGTGAGGTTACATAGTCTCAGTCAGTTTCCTTGACGCTGTTCTGGATATTGAATCACCTGGGTCATCGTTCCCATGGAGACCTCTCAGAGGTCTTACTTGATCAAACCACATTAGCCTGGAAGGAGTCCACAGCTTCTTATCATTTGTGGAAACAAAAGAAGAAACTCTTTTCCAAGGTAACATATCCTTAGACCTAAATTTAGAAGTCAAGATTTTTTTATGCTGGTTTAGCTTAGCAGCTCCCACAATCAAATGTCTTGCAACAGTTAGTTCAATGACAGTCAAAAAAATTCAAAGAAAACACAATAGTGTACATAATCCTGACTGTGTACTTTTCATCTTTGCCTGAATTATTTCTTTTATATTACTTTTATTGTCTCTTTAAAAACTTTATTTATTTATTATGGGTTTGGGGGGGCTTTTTTATTATTTATTATTATGGTTTTTCGAGACAGGGTTATTCTATAGCTTTGAAGCCTATCCGGGACTTGCTCTTGTAGAACAAGCTGACCTTGGCCAGGCGGTGGTGGCGCACGCCTTTAATCCCAGCACTCGGGAGGCAGAGGCAGAGGGATCTCTGTGAGTTCGAGACCAGCCTGGTCTACAAGAGCTAGTTCCAGGACAGGCTCCAAAGCCACAGAGAAACCCTGTCTCGAAAAACCAAAAAACAAAACCAAAAAAAAAAAGAACAAGCTGACCTTGAATTTAGAGATCTGCCTTCTGGGTGCCGGGAATGAAGGCATGCACCACCACCATTTAGCTACTTTATTTTTTTTAACTATTTCTTTCTGTAACTGCCTATTCTATAACTAAACTGCCTATGCCCATTTTCTTTTTTTCTTGAGTCTCTGTACATTTTTTTAAACACATGGTGACCCATTTAGAGGTTTATTTTTGTCTGAATCTGTCTTTATTGCATATCTGTAATCCATTTTTGATGACGGCTTTAAACTGTAAAGTGGGTGTGGCTAGGACCAGAGCGGCTTCTTTGGCTGTTGGTTCCACCCTGCTCAGTGTTGCTTCACGGTGGAGGTACGTGGGAGCTGTGTTTACTCCCACCTCTGGGAAACACTGGGTCCTCGCTGACACCACGTAACTTGCAGCACACTGCCCACAACCCTCATTCAAGTGCTCCAAAGCATGGTCTCCCAAAAGAGCCCTCTTGCTGACAGCACAAACCAGGAAGTCGTCTCTTAAAGAAGCTTTATTTCTGTTTGCTGCCAGCAACCAGAGCCTATCTGAAAAATATGACCATAAAGAAGTCGTTTCTGAGTCTGTTTTGTATGTCTATAATAATTTTTTTTATTTATTTGTATACAGTGTTCTGTCTGCATGTATGCCTGCAAGACAGAAGGGGGCATGGGATCTCATTACAGCTGGTTGTGAGCCACCACATAGTTGGTGGGAATTGTGAACTCAGTGTCTCTGGAAGAGCAGTCAGCATTCTTAACTGCTGAGCCATCTCTCCAGCCTCTAGCATCCATGTTTTTAAGCTTTCTCAGGCTTTATGCAGATGTACATGTCCCGTTTTGGCACCATTTGTAGATAGAAGTTTCTCTCCTGCCTGCCAGTCCCTGAATAACCACTCTAAAGCTTAATATTAATTATAATTGCTTAGCCAGTGGCTCAGGTTTCTTACTGGCTAGCCCTTATGTATAAATTAATCCTTTTCTAATAATCTATATATTCCCACATGGCCATAGTGTTACCTCACATCTTGCTTCTCTAGCAGCTGCTGGCATCTCCCAGACTCTACCTTCTTTTTCCCTTTATCTTTGCTTAGATTTCCTTCCTGGCTCTATTCTACCTGGCAATTGACCAGATCATCTTCTTTATTAACCAGTGGTAATAAAACACACTCACAGTGAGCAGAAGGGCATCCCACATCAACATGAGGTGTTTGAGGCCAGCCTGGGCTAAATGAGACCCAGTCTTAAAAAAGAAAAACTGACAAACTGAGTTTATTTTTGTCACTATATTCTTAAAACTATCACACAGTCTAACTTGCAATCCCCCTGCCTCAGCCTCCTGGGTCAGCACACAGAGATTTTTGTCCCATGGCTGACACTTCACAGCACATTGATGTTCTCACCATTCATCAAAAAATGGAGCTCAGCGCTGCACTCGGTTTATTTTGAAATGATTAGTTCCTTAACTAACAATGAGGAAGACATGAACTTCAAAAAATTACCAACTTTTAAAATCATCTTCTTTTCAGGAATTTGCTTTTATGAAGAAAAGCAACATATTGGTCTAGTGTCACAGTATAGTCTCAGGCTTGTGTGAAATTGAGGAGTTTTAAGGAAAATCTTCACATTAACCTATGTGTGCAGACAACTTCAAACCTAACACTCTTGAAAACAGACATATGAAAACATATGGTTCCAACTGACATTTCTTCTAAAACCTCAGGAAGAAATTCTAATCCAAACAAATCCAGAGCTCATCCCAACAACTAGGTTGACTTCTTTGATTTTTTCTTCTCTGCTTCCTCCTTTTCTTTTTCTATTTCAGTCACCTGCAATTCAATTTCTTTGGCACTAAACATCTGAAAAAAGAAAACAAATATTTTTCAATTATACCAATACTTGAGTGTTTTTTATCTGTAGCTTTGTACAAAAAATAATAAAAGACCTTAAACAGGAGGTGAAAAACTGCCATAAACAATTAGAGATTACGAACAAAAAGGTAGAGGAAATGAATAAATCGCTCAAAGATACCCAAGAAAACCAAGAGAAACAAGAAAAAGCAATCAAACAGGTAAGGGAAG